GAGCCTTGCCTCCAGTGGACTTGCGGGCAGTCTGTTTAGTACGGGCCATCTCGACGACGAAATAGTCAATACGGGCGGCCCGGCAGGCGGGCGGGCTTATATACAGACATTCTCCACCTCAGTGGCCACCTCATTGGCCACGAGTGCCGCATGCGTCATCCGCAAGCTACGCCCCACCTCCAAGAGGGAGGGACGGCCTTGGATGAACGATACTACCGCTGCGTCCACAGCACGCCACCTACTCCCACCAAACCGTGGGCGAAGCCACACCAGGACCACCTGTAGTAGCAACCACAACAACATGACTGGACGAGGCAAAGGAGGCAAGGGACTTGGAAAGGGTGGCGCCAAGCGTCATCGTAAGGTGCTTCGTGACAACATCCAGGGTATCACCAAGCCCGCCATTCGTCGTCTAGCTCGGCGTGGAGGTGTTAAACGTATATCCGGCCTCATCTACGAGGAGACCCGCGGCGTCCTCAAGGTGTTTCTGGAGAACGTCATCCGTGACGCCGTCACCTACACCGAGCACGCAAAAAGGAAGACCGTCACCGCCATGGATGTGGTGTATGCCCTGAAACGGCAGGGCCGCACCCTTTATGGTTTTGGTGGTTAATCAACCTGATGGACGGGCGCACACCACCACCACCACCACCACCACCACGACAAACAAATATACGGACCTAATTTTAGGTCCACATTTAAATCGCAAAAGAGTTGGTTAGACACTGAGTAAATCGTTGAAAATATATCCAATAACATGATCCTCTCTAATTCTGGACTTGTGGTATGAGTATAGGTTGTGTGTGAACGTGTTGGAACCACTTCCTAATAAATCAGTCAGTCAGTCAGTCAGTCAACATTCACCTAACCTCCAGGTACCTCACCTAACTTCCTGTAGCGTCACCGAACCTCACGAAATGTAACCCAATGTAGTTTATAATCTATCCTAACATGACATAACATAACCACGCACTATATTACTTCGGTAAGAGTAATGAGTTTTAATACACAAAGTTGCAGTTATCATTCATTCATACATACATACATACATACATACATACATACATACATACATACATAACATGCTAGTGGCAGGGGGGGATTGAAGTGAATTTTAGGAGGATAGAATAGGTGCAGTGGCTAAACAGCGCTTGCGTGAGGGACTTTAAGCAGCAACTCGCCTGGATGCGGCAGGATAGAGTCAGGTCAAGCGTCCGGTGCATGTTGGGTTCCGCCATGGTTTCTCAGTGTTTGGTCGGCTTGATTGTGTGTGTTGTTTTCTTGTTTGGAGGAAATGTCTTGGTATTCTTCTTCTTAGCTTGAAGTTGATTTTCTTCTAACTCTTCTCCTCTTGTTGTTCGTCTTCCTCGTGTCTGCTATCATTCTGTAAAGACTCTATATATGTATGTAGGTATGAGTGAGTAACAGTTGCCGGTTACAGTGATACTTCATATTCGCTGGTGTTGTACTGTATGGCTTCGGTATTTCTTAATATACAAACGGCACCGTTAGGGGATTGAGGTATTTAAAAACCAGCCTACATTACTTATATATAGAAATAAATAATGTGGCTTGGACAATAATGACGACTACTCTCTCCTACCTTCCCCAAACAAGGGCTTTTCGAAAGTATACATTGGACACAAATGACTTAGTACATCATAAATTGGTGGTTTAACAAAAGCCCTCATTAGAGAAAGGTGAAGGAGCACACAGTGAACATACAGATTAATGTTTGCACGCGTAGATCATGTAAGGTGAGATGTTGAACACCAGACACGTAGTGTAGTAACTCCCTCACAGATGGCGTTATGAGGGGCCTGATGATGTAGCAGTTACCTCACAGATGGTGTTATGAGGAAATTCACATGATGATGCTGTAGCAAAACATTCACTACGTGTTGTCGTAGCATCTTGGGGACACCACGTGGTCGACATGACTCACTCATTCAAGTGGGTGAGGTGTGGTCCCAGGCCTCTCTATCGTGGAGTCTCAGGGGAAGTATAACTGGGTACCTGGGACCTCACTGTGTGAAGGTGGTTAGCTAGCTTGGGTAAGACTCAACTGCCGAGTTGTTTTTCACTGAGTTAAGCACTGTTCACCACTATTCATCACTGGTTCCATTCCTTGGCCAAATGAGATAGTACCTTATGGCAAGAACTTGTTGATAGTCCGCTGGGGAGGAGGGTTCAGGGGAGTGAGTTGGTATGGGCCAACATATAAATAATAATAATAATAATAATAATTAACGGTTTATTGAAAGAGCTTGGCAGCCAGAAGACTGAAAATATACAGTTACATATTTGGGGAATGGGTTACGAATTACAAATAATATACAAGTAACATGAGTGACACAAATAAGACATATAATAACTAGCTGGGGAAAAGCTCAAACTACAGTTCATTTCAACATAGTGACAGTGCAAGGAGTAGTGTTTACTGGGAGTGAGTACACTTATTTATTACAAGTTATCGATAATTTTTACAATGGTTGGGACTGGGCTGTTCTTATAGCGATCAGTTCGTGCACGTATGGGCTGGGCTGGGCTGGATGCGGTTGTGGTGTCGAAGAGCAATTCTCGGACTAGGGATCTCAGGTGGTAGTAGGAGCCGGTGTCGGGGATGGTGTAGAAGCTTCTTACCAAATTTGCAGATGAGGTCGTGGTGATGGTCAGTGAGAGTCTAAAGGGTCAGTGTGTTGAGCGCTTCTTGATATGTGGAGTAGGAAGGGTAGAGAATAATCTTGCATGGCCTCTTTTGCACTTTTTCGAGGTGTTTACGTTGTGTGGCATTTAGGGAGGAAGACCAGGTGGAGGAGGCATAGGTGAGCTTGGGAAGTATGAATGTTGTGTAAACACTGAGGAGCTCGTGTGCAGGACCACCGAGGGACTTGAGTCGGCGTAGGAGGTGGAGACGGAAACTGGAGGATTTGATAACTTCACTGACGTGTGGTTTCTAATTTAGTTTGTTGTCTATATGTATGTGTGTGTGTGTGTGTGTGTGTGTGTGTGTATACTACTGTACTTTTTAGATCCTCCTACGCAACCTAACCTATTATAGTTAAGTATAGTAGGCTATACACTATTTTGTTAGTATGTGTTATAAAATGAAATTGCATGTTATTATTATTAATATTATTATTATTATTATATTATTATTATTATTATTATTATTAGTAGTAGTAGTATTATTATTATTATTATTGTTATTATTATTACATGCTAATATAATACTAAGTTGCCCGCCAGATTTCCTCAGAGATGGGAGGAGCACATTGGCGGCGGTGTTGTTTATACTCCGCCCGATTACTGATTCCTATTCACCGAGCCAGAGCTGGCGGGCGGCGTGTTATGTGCCACGTTTTGTTTCCCATTGGGCGTACCGCTCAGCTGGGGAGTAGGAGATTTCATAAAAAGAAAGTTTGAGTGGAGAGCACACCTTTTCCTTCACATACAGTTATCTTAGACCATCTACTAGTATAATAGTTTGCACAAAAATACTCTACACTCTTTCTAGGTTATTGTTATGTTGTTTTTTTTTTTTTTGACTTCTCATCAGATTGTGCATTCAACTAATATACACTATTAGTGTGTTTATTATTATGTTTTATAGTATTATTTCGTATAATATTGGGTAACACAATTATAGTCACTAGTATAGTATATTATTGGGGTTTATAGCAGTTTGTGGTCTAATAGTATCATGCTTTATGAGTGGTGTTCTATGTAGTGATGATTAGGCAATAAAATATGCTTTGGGTGTTTATAGCAGTTTTTGTGGTCTACTAGTATCATGCTTTATGGGTGGTGTTCTATGTAGTGATGATTAGGCCATAAAATATGCTTTTGGTTTATTGCTAACAAAATATACTTTGCTCTACCGCTGTCGTGCAAAACATGGTGAAACTTACATACACCGTTAATAAAGTATTGATGGAAGAAGAAGAAGAAGAAGAAGAAGAAGAAGAAGAAGAAGAAGAAGAAGAAGAAGAAGAAGTAAGAGGAAGAATTGTGGAGGGAATGAACAGTGAGACAATGTAAAGCCTCCGGGATGGCGGCAGCGTTTCTGTTATTAATATATAATAAGACAATAGGAAAATATGTTGTTGTCTCTACCTGTATTATTACCTTTGCGATAGCATGGTTCAATTTTGGGAGGACAGAGGAAGGAGCAGGAGGTTAGGAAGGGAGTTGTAGTGGGAGAGATAGTGTCTGTGATCCTCGGGTCACCACTCCTCGGATTGTGTCAGTTCAAGTTTAGAAGCTCCAACAACTTTCCCTGAATACGAATTCGCAACCTTTCGATTTACAACAGGTACCTACTTACTGCTACAGTAGGTAGGTGAACAGGGACCAAGGGGGCTAGGAATAGTGTCCAAACAACTTGCTCCTGCCTGCCTGTGTGATGTAGTCGTGGCCAGAATTAGGTTAGGATACAGACACATCTGGCTAGTTAGTAACGCTGTACCCATACCGGAACACTCAGCATGTAAACTTTGTGATACACCTTTAAAGCACTATATTATTGAATGTGACACTGTCAAAGACTTCAGGCCACCTCACTTATTGTATCTTGAACTATGTCATTACTTCATTGAGGACATTACATTCTTGCTCTTTATCCCAAATTGGCTAGCCCACACTGGTAAATGTGTACTGTACTGTACTGTACTGTCAATGAATCTGATGTATTTCTTTGTGTATGAACCTGACTGAAAATAAGGTCTCATCCCTTGCTGCTGCTGCTGCTAAAGCTGCTTCTTGCGCCCTTCTAAGTCCCGTTTAAGTCCCCCACCCCAGGCCCCCGCAGTACCCCTTCACATCTACACCATTCAAAATCAATTTCACTCAATTTCCACAATACTATGCTAATTACACGTAAAATAGAGTGTTATCCTGCAAAACGTTGATGTCGTATATTTCTCTCTTTAAGTGATATCCTGTGGCTCCGAAAGGAGCCTGTTTGGTTAGGTTGTCTTGTGTGAACGAACCTTGGGTTCTTATTTCTTCTCTGTCTTCTTGGGGAGGAGCACAGCTTGGATGTTAGGAAGGACACCCCCTTGGGCAATGGTGACTCCAGACAGGAGCTTGTTCAGCTCCTCGTCATTGCGAATGGCAAGCTGAAGATGACGCGGGATAATGCGGGTCTTCTTGTTGTCGCGGGCGGCGTTACCGGCCAGCTCGAGCACTTCTGCTGCCAGGTACTCCATGACGGCTGCAAGGTACACAGGGGCACCTGCACCAACACGCTCAGCATAGGTGCCTTTACGCAAGAGACGGTGGATCCTACCCACGGGGAACTGGAGTCCGGCCCTGCTAGAACGGGACTTTGACTTGCCCTTCACCTTGCCTCCCTTGCCGCGTCCTGACATGTTGCTGCTGCTGCTTTTCGTGATAGGAGTTAAATTTCCTCGGGCCACCTTGGTCTTTTATACCAAGCTCAGGATCAGGCCAGGTGGCCGTCTCGCGGACCCAACCAATGTAAGAGAGCCGTAGCTGCAGCCAGTCTGATCCTGAGCGGCCCGCTCGGTATATAAGGAAAAGTTAGTCGGGCCAGTTTTCAATTCTCTCGCTCCGCGCCACGAGTAACTGTGCCGCCATGCCTCCCAAAACTTCCGGAAAGGCTGCCAAGAAGGCTGGAAAGGCCCAGAAGGCCAGTGCCAAGGGTGACAAGAAGAAGAAGCGCAGGAGGAAGGAAAGCTACAGCATCTACATCTACAAGGTACTGAAGCAAGTGCACCCCGACACAGGAGTCTCCTCCAAAGCTATGTCCATCATGAACTCTTTCGTGAACGACATCTTCGAGCGCATCGCTGCCGAGGCTTCCCGCCTGGCGCACTACAACAAACGCTCCACCATTACAAGTCGGGAAATCCAGACAGCTGTCCGACTCTTGCTGCCCGGTGAACTGGCCAAGCATGCCGTGTCTGAGGCACCAAGGCTGTCACCAAGTACACCTCTTCCAAGTAAGAGGTTACTTGTGCACAACAAACACGCCATCCCACTACTACAACTTAATCGGCTCCATCGGAGCCACAGTTACATGTTAAAGAGACAGTTACTGACAGTGATATATTGAGAGGGAAATAAAAAAAAAAAAAAATTATAATAATCTGCATTCTCTATTGGCGTAGAAACAGGACTAAATCGAAACATAATAAATAAATAAATAAATTCTGCGTGGAGTACTTTTACACCCACTGCAAAGTGACATACATGGAGTGTATTTGGGCTTCATTTCATGTTTGCAGCACGCCTATTTCATGTAAACAATTTATTTTATTTTATTGTATTTTATTGTATTTTCTTTTATTTTATTTATTTATTTACTTACTTATTCTTTATATATTTATTTGTTACTAGCTCTTGTTTGTTGCACCCACCCACCTCCCGAATTGATGACCTACTATACATTCGTGCCTGCACGAATGATACCAACTTACCGTTAGGCGATTTGGGTAACCGAAATTAACGCTCTCCTACCACCAACCATTTCGATTGTCATGACAATTATCTTCAGAACAGTTCTTTGGCCCTGAGAAGGGCCGAGTTATAGATGTCTGGTAGGTTTTGTTGTGCTTTTTCTTTTTCCCCAAGGAAGAGGACTTAAGCACGCTCTCCGCGGATGCGCCTGGCCAGCTGGATGTCCTTGGGCATGATGGTAACGCGCTTGGCGTGAATGGCACACAGGTTGG